AACTATTCCAAATGCCATGAGGGCACTGCGATTCATAATTACCTCACACAAACATAGCACATGCAAACATTGTAGTGCTTTTTACTTTTCTCCATAAACTTGTGTCGGAGTTTCAGCAATGATTTGTCCCTTTGTCATCCTCTGAGAAAATGCTTGATGGTCACCTAGTTATGAGAAATGACCATGTAGCGTGAGCGCAAAGCACATGGTCAAGGAATCTAAGTGTATGCGCTTGTCACTTCAGGTCAGAATAAAAACACACGCAAAATTTTGTACTGTATAGCAGCAGTGAGGAGATTATAAATAAAAAAGGAAGTGAAAATGTGGCTTTTTGGTTTCTTTTCTTGTGCATCCCAGCCACTAGAACCCCATCTGAAAGATTTTTAGCATAGGGCTAATATAATTATTCAACTTCACAATTTGTAATGTTGCATTATGTATTTGAATGGTGATTGTTAGGTATTTTACTTGAAAGCTCAGATTTGACTATCATAGTTTGTTTTGTTAACAGAGTTTGAGGCTTACTTATTCACACCTTACAGATGTTGATCTACCTTAAAGTTTATTTAGATTGTTCAGTGTTTAAACATTGCATTGCACACACTGCAACATTTTATTCATTAAGTTGGGCAACACGGTAGCGCAGTGGGTAGCACGTTCACCTCACAGCAAGAAGGTCACTGATTCGAGTCTCAGCTGGGTCAGTGGGCATTTCTGTGTGGAGTTTGCATGTTCTCTCCGTGTTCGCGTGGGTTTCCCCCATAAGAACAAAGATGTGGTACAGGTGAATTGGGTATGCTAAAAATTCACCGTAGTGTATGAGTGTATGTGTGAATGAGTGTTTATGGATGTTTCCCAGTGATGGGTTGCGGCTGAAAGGGCATCCGCTGCTTAAGACATATGCTGCGGTTCATTCCGCTGTGGGAATGCCAGATTAAAAAGAGGACTTAGTCTAAAAGAAAATGAATGAATGAATTTATCAAGTTTAAGAGTCTCTTTAACACTCAAGTTTATTTTATTATGAACAGAAGAGATATTTAGTTTAAATATTTTTGTTTTTGACTATAAAAGTATTTGCCTTAGTAATGTTGGCAAATTAAAACATAGTGGTAAAATAAAAAATTCCTAATGTTCCTAAATTTATTGTTAAAAAAATATTCAATAATTACGATACTGAATTATATGAAACATGATATTGTGATACTTTTTTTGCAATTTCGCCCAGCCCTAATAGCTATTTCTTAGCCTTATTTTAAATAATGTGTCAAAAACAAGCCAAATACAGTTAAGTTCTTTAAAAAACACTTTTTCAAACTATTTGTCCTACTGTAGAAGAGGTGGAGTGAGTCCACTGCTTCACATTAGTGTTTGCTAAAATCTAATTTGTTTTGTTACTTGTTATTTTTTATTAAATATTTAGTAAAAAAAATATATATATATAATTAAACATATTATGTATTTATTTTTGTTTTAATCAGACTAGTTTTAATGTCAGGCAAAGTATATTTTGCACATATTTTCATTTCTACCTCACAAAACGGTTAGCAGCTTTCACTTTTTTTGCATGTGACTAAAATATTTAAAGATATAGTACACCCAAGAAATTTAATTTACAAAGCCTCAAAGGTTCCAAACCTTTATGAGATTCATTGTTCTGTGGAGCATAAAAGTAGTTATTTTGAAGTATGTTATAAACCTGTAACCATTGACTTGGAACTCAATGGTTACAGGTTTCCACCATATTCTGTGTTTAAAAATCAAAGATGCGTGTGACAAGTGAAGGGAGATGACAGAATTTGCAGTTTTGTTTTGTAAGCATATCAAGTCATTGAAATCAAACATATCAAACCATTGCTCTCCAATTAGAGTGACAAACCACACAAATGCAAAGATTGTCATCATTATTTCAACCTCAGTATAAAGCAAAACCCCTATGATTTTCACTGTTAATATAGAACACAAAAAAGATCCTACACAGCAGTGTTTCTCTCTAAAAAAAAAAGACATACATTCGAATTGTGAGCTAAGTCTTATGAAGCTATAGTGTTCTCAAATAACTAAGTAATGCATATTTTCAATTGCTACAGTTTCTAATATGTTGCACTTATATATATATAATAATAATAATAATAATAATTATAATATATATATATATATATATATATATATATATATATTGTTTATGTAGAAACCCAAAACAGATTTGAGAGCTACAGAAATGGGTAATCTTTTTAGCGAATGATGGTTTGACTTTCATCCAGTTCTAATCAAAGGCTGTGGCATGGCTTCAGAAGAATTTCAAAAGTTGTCTGTATTACTTTTATGGTAGTTTTTTGTATTTTAGAACTTGGCAGGTTTGGGTTATAATACGCTTTCATTGTATGCAAAAGAGGAACTAAGTTTCGCGGAAGTTCTAAGTGAAGCGCTCATTAAAAATCTCATGTCAGAGGAGGTAATTCTATGCTTAATTATTCATTATCCGTGAGGAAGAATGGTGGGACCATGGTTGCATTAATTATGCCATTCAGTTGCCATAGTAACCACTGTCTCGTTAGACCATTGGAGTCTCATTGTAAAAGAAAGATGTGCTTAATTCAGTCAGTGAAGTACAAACCTGAAGTATCGATCTCTCTGTCTTGTCTTGTATTGCATTTGAATGTATCATGGGATGCTTTAGGAAAGAGTGCAGCAAAAGGCTAAATACATTTTCAAGACGCGAGAGTAATATAACAACAGAGATAGCTTTGCTTGAATGAACAAAAAATGAAAAAATTAAAGAGCCAGTATTAAGTCAAAATTGTCATGTATTACTTTCTTAATCCTCAATTTTAATGCAACTAAAAAAATTCACATTAATGCATTTGGACCTCAAGATGTACTACTAAAACTCGTTTTTATATACATTGTTCAGAAATGTTATTTGGAATTATTAGAATTTAATTAGTTATTAAGTTAGTTATTTAAAAACATATACTTATGAAAGATGACACATTTATTTTTAACACAACAAAATTTAATTTGGGAAACAATTAAATTAAATTTTAATGAACGGATGTTCACTTTTAAAAAAAAAAGATCAACATTTCATTCTGCAACAGTTTATCAATAGAAATGCATGATTACTAATCATCAAAACTAAGACCTAGTGTGTGAGAAAGGCTAAAAATATTTTACCAAAAAGTCCAAAAAGACAATATTTGTGAAGTTTTGCTCTCTTTCTAAAAATATTTTTAAATACATTATTAATCTCCCAAACTACTTCATATCTCATGTAAAAAAATAAATAAATAATTAATTGGTAACATGCTTCAAGGTTTTTTTTTTTTTTTATTTATTAATTTTGTTTATATATTTATTTATTTCATGGACCAAGATGTATTTATTATTTATATTATTTTAGTTTTTTTTATTATTATTCTTATTTTAAAGTTTTTTTATCATTAGTAGTAGTAGTAAAAAAAACTCTTATGATACTGTTCTGTGCCTTTTATGGTACAGTTGAAATGAAGGTACACAATTGTTCTCATAAGAAAAAAGTGTTGGACAACTCCTTCTTTCTTACAATATCTATGAAAATAAATATTACTGGAAAGGCAAAGTGATTTTATGAATGATTTGCATATTAAAACAAGAATCATCATTTAAGGTTCATTTAAGGTTTTTATTATTAAGTTATATAAAACAAAACAACTGGTAAAACAAAACTATAGGTATTGTAAACTAAACATTTAATGCAATTTTAATAAACATTTGGTAAGCATTTACTGATAAAGACTTACAGATTTATATTTATTTAAAATAAATTGACACATTTTGGATACAGCAAAATGCCTTTAAATAGGTCTTGAATGTACACATTTGACACTGTTAAGGTACAAAGTATCTTGCCACTGTAGTGGTACCTACATGGATCAGATTTGTATTTATGATAAAGGTGCAATATTGTTTCTGCAGGTTTTAAAAACCAAAGGTACATTTTGGCTTCCCATGGTGCAAATAATGTCCTTAAAGGTACAAACTGCAATGGTACAAATTTGTTTCTTTGTCTTAAGGTACAATTCTGTTCCATAAAATGGTACTGCCCCAGTGACAAGAGTTTGTACCTTCGTACAACATTTTACCAGTTTTCTGAGAGAGTAGGCTTGTATTTTACAGTACTTTAAAAATACTCAAACATGTCTCTGTTAATGTTTTCAAACAAATAAATTTGATTTACCAAAGTCACACAAGTGCCATTTTCACATTTGTCACAACCATAAAGAAGAGATGTCACATCCATAATGAAGCATTTTCCTCATAAGTGCAAAAACACCAAATAAAATAAAACCAATCATTTTTGTTCTATAGTAAGCCAACTCTAATCCTTTTGATTAGCATTATTTATTTTGGGTTGAGCAGTGTGATATACAGAATTTCTACAAAATCTGTTGTATACTGCAATCTCACATACTTTTTTGGTAATATGCATAACGCATGTTTATTTTACTCATTTAAAATTTAAAAAAGATGTTTAGAGAATTAAATTTTCTGATCCCATAGCTTGTGGTTAGTTGTTTTGGAAAATATTAACAGATATTTAGATATAAGTTTAATTCACTTTCTTTGTGAAATTCTGCTTTAAGTTTTTACTGCAAATGTCACATCAATAACGCTATAATTGCTCAGTAGTGGTAGTAGTACTCTGGTCTGACTACACAGTGTTGTTTATACTAGGAGAAAAAAAATAAGCCAATTAATAAGCAAAGAAACATTCTATATCCTTTTAACATGCACTGTTGATTAATCATGCACAATATAGAACACCCAATATATTTATTAAGAAAGCATTTTGTATTTCATTTTTGCTTTAAACTATGCAAAATCATTTTACCTGTCACACTTGGAAAATTAAAGTTAAATCACTGAACCAATCACAGATTATGATGGAGCAAGGTTTTTTTTAATATATATATATATATATATATATATATATATATATATATATATAAGAATAAGGTTACCTTGTAAGTGCCATTGGGGTGCTTCATGAAGGACACTAGGAAGATATCCACCGGAAGAAGAGCTGATGTGATGAGTGCAATAGCCAGAGCACATATCGCCGTGATAGTAGAGATAACCTCGCTCTCCTGTCGACTCTGATACTTTCGAATATAAACCCAGCAGAAGGCCAAGATGACCTAAAGATACAAGGAGACAACATGAACCGTCAGATTTGTGATCCGTTACAGCACTGCCCTACTGAATCATCACAGTCAATCTAAAATTTTAAATTCTTTCCAAATAGTTATTCAACACATCGAGTGAGATTGTATTCATATCAAAATATATTACGCAGGATAAGAACTATCGCATTGTCAGATTCTTCCAATATCATGCAGCCCTAATATAGATTCATTATTATTTTTAAATCTCTTTAAACATGCACTTTTTGGGTAAATCAATTTCAATGAAGGGACAGAAATCTCTTAGATTTTAATTAAAAAATTAAATTTTATGTTTAATGCTGAGCACTATATATATATATATATATATATATATATATATATATATATATATATATATATATATATATATATATATATATATATATATATATATACAGACATATACACACACACATACACACACACACATTATGAAAATGTTCAAGAGGCCTGATGTTTGTGATTTTTTTAAACTGTAGGTGATAGCTCACTTTAAAGACCATACAAGTTTACAGCACTATTTAAATACCTCAAAACATGATTTTATACTGATGGAAAAAAAAGACTTGCCTATGGATTTAGAAGCCTCTAAAAAGCATTGCATTTCATCTCATTAAAAGAAACACTAATGGAGTCCAACTTTCAGAAGGAACTTGTTTCAAAGTGAAAGGTCGTATTCTAAACACATCCTCTATAAGCTCTCAGGACGCCGCTAAAATGAGCTTGTGATTACGGGATGCTGTTTTCAGACCGGGATCAATTAAGAGCCCTATGCGTATTAGATTCTGCCTGAATTGTTGGTCCGATAATGACCCGATGCTCTGCATTTAAATCAGGATGCAAGGAACAAATTATAGAATGGGAAATACTGCTCTCTTTACACTTGTTAAACTCCAGCAGGTTGCATTTTAATTAGAAAATTACAGCTCGGGTGCCACTTCAATTAAACACCTCAACCAAGGCAGAATAATAACCAACTATAGAAGTGATTGTCATTTGTGAGCCACTAAATGGAACTTAAAAATGGACAAAAATCACTATTAAACATCACTAAATGGACAATTATAAGATATTATTTTATGTATATATAAAATATAATCACCAAACAAACTTTCAACACAATAACAAATCTTTGCTGTCATAGAATTGTAGACTTCATCATAAAAGTAATGATTAGGGCAAAGATGGTTTCATATTCGCACATTCAGACTTTCTTCCTAGTAATATAAATATCAGAAAATACATTTTTGCAAATTTCAAATAGGCAAATCATATTAGCAGCCAATGACTATCAAAGTAGATCATTGTTAACATTCATTGAATTGTACAAATGATTTCACACGAATATTAAAAGCAGCAAAGTAAACAATATAAGGATTGTGGCACAAGCTGTCACTGAACGAATGTGAGAATATACGTAACTTTACCTCAGTGAATTTATGTGTTTGTATAGTTTGGAGGGAAGCAACCAATACATATTCATAGGTGACACTAGAATAGGGGAATGTATTTTCAAATGTTCACAAATGAAATACTAAGAAACAAAAAGCTATCAATAGATGATATCAATACAGCAACATCTAACGTTAATTATGAATATAAATTACGTAACGTTAACACATAAAACATTTTAAATACCACTAACAACCACACCAGAAGTAAGACTACATTGAAATTAAAGGGTATATTTATATGTTTGTAAAAGTCGAAACATTTTAGTGTAACAGTTTTACTTTAAAGTTGATTATTTAGCTGTAACGTTATATATAAACAGGATTATGGCATGACGTGCTTAACCATAATACATCTATATCGAGCTACTGTGCCTGACAGAATATACGCAAAAAATATCGCCTCTAACGATGTAGTACTAGTAAATACACGTTATGATGAATAATGTTTGCATCTCACCAGTAAAACGACAGTGAAAATCGACCATCCGAGCACAGATTCAGAAAGTAACGCTACAGGAGTCGCCATGACTGCTTCACTTCCTGCAACACAGCTGACGCACGCGCCATGTGACAGGGAACGTCACGGGCACGCAGGTCTGGGTCAAAAACCAAACAAACCAAAAATATCGGCTCTCTGATTCAGCGGGAGATAATCTCTTGTCCTTATGCTGTCTATTATTGGGACAGACATATAGGTAATATTAACTGCAAAAGAGTATGGACTTTACCTCAGAAAGTCCATATGTACAATAAAATCCGTGAAGTGTCTTATAAAATAATAAATAGGTGCCATCCTACAAAAGTATTTTTTTTACAAAGGTTTATTTCTGAAGGTTTTGATGTAAAGTGCTCCTTCTGTCATTACCAAACTGAAGATCTGTCTCACTTTTTTTGGAATTGTGAGTATAAAAAAATATTTTGGTGAAATGTATTAGGTTTATTTAGTGGTATAATTCCTGATGTTATGTTAAAATATGAAAACGTTATTTTAGATTATAACCATCAGAATGAACATCCAGATAGTTTTTTTATTTATTTAATCGTATTATATTTTTGGCCAAATATTTTATTACTCGTGTAAACCTTTCTTTCAGGTTTTTCTTGAATATCTAAATCTTTATATCTTTGATTTCCTTATGTACTAACAAGAAAGCACCAAACAAACCTCAAGGTTTTTTAAGATTCGATGGTATCATGGTAGATATACTAAACACATTATAAATGTCAGTGCTAAAATATTTATATAAACTTTAGCTATTCATTTCTTTATGTGATATATTTTTATTCTGCTTTTGTATGATCAATCTCAATGTTCAAATGGTTTTTAATTTTTTTTTGTATTTTTACAATGCCAAAAAATATTTAATATGTAAATTAACAATAATATAAAGTGAATTTATAGTGAATAAGTATTGAATGTTTCATTTAATATAGTAAAAATAAGTAGTGAATATCAAAATAAATAAATAAATACGTAAGGGCAAATCTAATCATGTATTACAATGGAGATGTGAATTACACCCATTGAAACATTATTTCACACAATATCATGTTTGTTTATTTATTTATTTATTTATTTATTTATTTATTTATTTATTTAATATATGCAGCCATCAATACCACATATTTAAATAATAATAATAATTATTATTTTTATTATTATTATTATTATTATTATTATTATATTTATATTTATTTATAATAATAATAATAATAATTATTATTAATAATAATAATTATTATTATTATTATTATTATTATTATTATTGTTGTTGTTGTTGTTGTTGTTGTTGTTGTTGTTGTTGTAAATATTATGAATAAACTGTATTCCCATCATTCACTTTGCTGGCATGTCCTACTCTAAAAATAAATACCTAAAAAGGCTCATTAAAAAGATCACTAACAAAAACTTGGAAAAAGTAAATAAACAAATAAATAAAATAAAATAAAATAACATTATTGTTTATTATTAAATATAATAAATATAACATAAGGGCGACACAGCTAGAGTCCCAGCTGGGTCAGTTGGCCTTTCTGTGTGGAGTTTGCATGTTTTCCCCATGTTCGCTTGGGTTTTCCTCCCTGTGCTCCGGTTTCCCCCACAGTCCAAAGACATGCGCTATAGGTAAACTGAATAAACTAAATTGTCCATGATTTATGTGAGGGAATGAGTATGTATGGATGTTTCCCAGTACTGAGTTGCAGCTGGAAGGGCATCTGCTGTGTAAAACACATGCTGGATAAGTTGGTAGTTCATTCCGCTGTGGTGACCCCTGATGAATAAACGGACTGAGCCAAAGGAAAATGATTGAACGAATTAATTTATTATGTTATTATTCACTATTATATATAATAAACATAACATACTCTATATAAATAATAAACAGAATTTCAGCCACTCAGGCTGCAAGTTATGCTTTGAACTGAAAGACATTTAAAAAATAAGAAAGCACAAGAACAATCGAGAATGTTTTCTTTTCTTTCTTTTTTTGTTAAAAAAAAAATGACCATCTGTCTTGATTCTTGCCTCATGAGACAGAAAATAGCTTTCCAGATTTAAAGTTTAATCTTTTAAAATCCCTTAGCCCTTCTGCTGGGACACTGTGCGAATGTTTTGACTGGAACTATTCATCCACGGTCTTCTTATATTTAATCTTGCCCAAGTGTCCCTGCAATAATTCATGACACTTGCTAAATTTTAATTTCCCTTTTCTTTCTTTGAGATCCTCCATGCATTTAAGATCCAGGGTGATAACTAGTGAACTAAACTGTCTATAGCCTATATCCTCTTCGAGTATACTCTCCTGCCAACTTTTTACTGAGTGACTCATTGAGAGCCATTAAATCGTAATGTAATCAAGACTATTTCCGTCTCTTACACCTCAGACCAATTACCTAATATTACCGGCCTCTGTTTAATGCCAGCTTTTTGAACCTCTGAGTTCAATTAGTAGCACATAAATGAATGGCAGAGAGATCTTCTTCAGAGGTCATGCGCAGGTCGACATTGATTTGAAGCAGGACTCCACTTCTGTATGCTTTTAACGCACAACAAAAGAGAAATACATAATCGTTGACATACATCTGGATTTGAAACACATCACACAAAAACAGTGTATGTATAAACATGCACACAGTGATCTATGATAGCATGATTTTCCTATAATCAGTAGGGATAACACCGCTTTCCAGTGTGTGAATAATGAATGTGTCTTTACTGTAGATTAAGTGAGGAATAATAAATCATGCTAGAGTTTATTCTAAATAAAGTACAGGCATCATTTATACAGCCACACACAGACAGTTAGGTTTCTTGTGTGGGCTTTCCATAGACTTCCATCTTGTTGAAGATTTCAGTTCATCATTTAGTAAATTTAATGTATACAGCTATTGGTAAAAATGGAATTTATTAGGTATGGGTGTTTGTGAAAAATAGTAGGGGAGAGCAGGGATGAAATGTAACGTGGGACGAAAGTAACAAAGTGATTTTCTCGAAGCCCTCACAACATTTGAGTTCCAGGCTGATTTCCATCCTTGATGGAGCAGCCAAATATCAAGTTAGCTCAGTTAGCTTGCAGTTTGCTCTTTTTTTTTCTTATTAATGTGTGTTTCACTTTTCATGTGTCACATTAATGCTCAATCTACAGGTTATTTAGTGCAATAACACATTGTTGAGTTTAAATGTTCTTCAGGTTTCTTCAGATTTAATTAAATCAGGTTTAAATAGCAAGAGTTCCTATAGGGACAAAAGTAGCACTGTAATTTATGTCCCACTTCGTGTAGACATACCCTATTTTTCACTTCCACATTAGAGTTTTCAGTGTTTTGGTTCATGTGTTTTACAAAATGAATGCATTTTGCCAATGATAATAAAAAATATTTTTAAATTGTAGAAAACGTTAACATTTTGCATTGTTGGATTGCTTTTAAAACATTTGATGTATGTGAAATTTAAAATGAAAATGCAGTTTAATATTTTCTGCAGAAATAAAGGACAAAATATCTTTGCAGTTAACATTAACAAGGTCAGATATATTTTAAATAAACAAGATTAAGCCAGGCGTCACGGTACTGCAGTGGGTAGCACAATCCCCACACAGCAACACTATCACTGGTTCAAGCCTCGGCTGGGTCAGTTGGCATTTCTGTGTGGAGTTTGCATGTTCTCCCCATGTTAGGGTAGGTTTCCTCGAAGTGCTCCGGTTTCCCACACAAGACATGCAGTACAGGTGAATTGGGCAAGCTAAATTGTCTGTAGAGTATGAGTGTGGATGAGTGTGTATGGATGATTCCAAGTGATGGGTTGCAGCTGGAAGGGCATCTGCTGCGTAAAATATATGCTGGATAAGTTGGCAGTTCATTCTGCTGTGGCGAGCCTGGAATAATAAAGCCGAAAAGAAAATGAATGAATGAAAGATTAAGCCAGTAAATCTAGCAAATATTGCTGTGTTACTTTTGACCCACCCTTGTGTTGCTTTTGTCCCTGATGATGGGCAAAATTATATTTTTAAATTATATTTTTTATAATTGACCACAGCAAAATTATATATTTTATATATTAAATCTCCCCTATTTGTTTTATTATGAGAAAATACTATCAAAAAAGTAATTTACTTCTATCTTTCTGAAAATAACAATTGGTTAGAATAACATTTTTCTTTTTATCAAATTTGACTGAAGTATTGGTTATTCCACCACCAAATACTGATTTTGTTTTTAACTTTTATTAAGTTATTTATGTTATCTAAAAATGAATATAAACATATCTGAAAATGACAGCAACGCAGTGGCGCATTAGGTAGTGCTGTCGCCTCACAGCAAGAAGGTCGCTGGGTCACTGGTTTGAACCTTGGCTCAGTTGGTGTTTCTGTGTGGAGTTTGCATGTTCTCCCTGTGTTCATGTGGGTTTCCTCCAGGTGCTCCGGTTTCCACCACAGTCCAAAGACATGCGGTACAGGTTAATTGGGTAGGCCGTAGCGTATGAGTGTGTGTGTAAATGAGTGTGTTGATGTTTCCCAGAGATGGGTTGGGGCATCCACTGCGTAAAAACGCGCTGGATAAGTTGGTGGTTCATTCCGCTGTGGCGACCCCAGATTAATAAAGGGACTAAGCCGACAAGAAAATGAATGATTGAATATCTGAAAACATGGCAATTTTTAAAATATTTTTTTGGATATTTCAAGCAAAAATGTCTCTAAAAGACAGTGTCTATTGAAAATTAAATATTTTTTTTATTGAGAATTCGATTTTATGGAGAATTGTCATCATAATTACTGAATAAAACAAAAAAATACATTTATTAAAATGTGTAAAAAATCGTGTCAAATATTTGCTTTCAAAAATGTCAGCTTTTGGTCCCCTCAGTGTTGGATAAACCGGTACAAACAAACAAATAGACACACACACACACAATTTTCGCATTCTGACAACGGATGAAAAGCTTATAACCGACAATCTTAGATTTTCCCTTTGGCTGTGATATCAGAAACTGTCTAGCTCAGCCATTATATTCATTGAGATTCATCAAACATAATCTGCTTTCTGTCGCTATTTCTAATTAATTTTTTTATCTCTTCAAATGGCTTGGCTGTACATCAGGA